ATATTGAGAAAGCAGAATTACTTTGAGTTGAGAATGGCCCTTCAGTGTTCGATGTATCAGAACATTGGATTGATGTCATGTTTTAAAGATGCCAACTACCCTTTTTGGGGTCCTTTTATTATGTCCATGTCTGGGTACCAGATGTATCACTGGGTAACAGTGATACAAGCTGTGAAACTCAGACATAGGTATGACACTTTTAATCTTCATTTCTTGATTCATACTCCTTCCATTCAATATGATACTCCATTCTGCCTGGTTTCAGTAGAAATTATTGTGAAGCTAGGGAAGGATGTTAGACTGTAGATTTGCCTACACTGGTATTACAGGGTAGAGAAATTACATCGTGTACCCATTGCTGCATTTGAATTAGTTAGACCTTCTAGATAAAGCTGCTGACCATCAAAGATCTGAGGAAAACCAGCATCAATATTAAAATAATTTTTAATGTAAATACTAACTTCCTTGTTAGATTATATATCCATTAATATGGATTATACATAATCTGATGAAGCAGTGCTGGCTTGATTGAGCCAAAGTATAGCAAATAAAACCCAAAGACAGTGCAATGTGAGGTTTAAAATCTGTCAGATATATTTGTGTGATTTTTTTTTTTTTACTGGTGAAGAAATTATTTAGACTCAAAGATTAAAAAATTCTTTAATAAGCCTAGGTTACTATTCCAACTGTTATGGATGCTTAACAATAAAAGAAGCAGGTGTCTGTTCTTAAATGTGTGAAGGATGAAATGCTGTTGCTTCTGTTACTCGCTATAATGTTTTTGGTATCATAATATAGAATAAAACTCTCCAGCCTCATTGATATTTGGGGAAAGGAATCACAGCTCTCTTTCCCTAGAGAAAGATACTGGATAAATATATCTTTAATAGTTTTTGTCCCTTAAATAGTGGTACTAAATTTTTCATACATTTTTTATGGTGATGTTGAATCATGAAGGATTAACATTATTAGAGATTCTATATTTTGCTTTTTAATGAAATCTATTGTCATGTTCTCTATTAAATATGAAAATGAAAGAAGTTCATCACTAGGAAAAAATCTAAGATGTTTTATTGTTTTAAAATAACTTAATATACTCCTTGTAAATGTAATTATTTGGGGATTAAAAATATTACATGAATGTTTATCTGAATTAAATTTTGCCTCTTACAATGCATTTCAAAATAAACTGCACTATAAACGGATAACTTTGAAACATAAAAGGGGAATTAAATGACTGAAGATAAAAACAAGCGTAATTTAAATGTTAACTTCTAACAAAAAATTTATGTAGAACTGTGGTTTACAATAATTGTTGACATATTCCCCTAAGTACTGTGTCTGTGGTTTTTCATGGTATCAATCATTTAAAGCAATTTAGGTAATACCATTCTGACATGCATTTCTGCTATTTTATTTACACCATTTGCCTACATCAGTGCGATGCAGTACCTTTCTGATTTGGTACAGTAAATGCACTCTGTAATATCTATTATGGTTTGGTCAAAGGATAATTTATTGTCAAATAGAAAAATAGGTCAACACTAATGTCACTTGATGATCAACCCCCCCAAGTTTAATAAAACATCTCACCAGTATGCATTCCACTGCAGTGGCTGATATTTTATTAGGACTACCTGGCTATGGCAGTAGTGTAATTACTGAGCTGTCAGAGTGATAAGTGGGATTAATGGCAGCCTGATGCACTTTAGTCTGCAGAGCGCTTAGAGAATTGCAAGATGGTATTATTATCAGAGTCTGCCCATTCTGGCATATTCATGGCACCAAAGAAAAAAAGAATGCTACAATTCAGGTTTGCGTTGCCCTGCCTCATTAACATCTGACATTTCCAACAGCTGTTATTTGTGAACTAGCTCAATAATAAAAGGAGAGTTATTTGGTAAAGAGGCTTAATAACCACAACTAAAAATCCTTACGTTGTCAGTGCTGTTAAGTGAATCTGTTTATGTTGAATTTAAGATTTCTCTGGAAGAGCTGAAAAATACACTTTGCATTAATTTGGCTCATTCATACCTGCTGACATTATAACTTTATTTCTTAATTGCCTTATATTTAAGTTGGGTGTTAGAAAAAAGAAAAGCCCAAAACTTATGCCTTAATAGGGATAGCCAGAACCCTCTATCTATCTGTCTGTCTGTCTATCTGTCTGTCTATATCTTTATCTTTCATAAGTATTTCTGTTGTTTTGTTCTTGTGGAATTGCAGATGTTTAAAAAACTGTCAAAATGACTTTCACAAGTCAGAAGATATTTTTTATTGCATATTATTTTATAGCTTTTTATTTTAGCTACTTTATTTTACCTCATAATAGGAAATCCTTTCAAACACTATTAATGTACAACATGTTTATCCATGTGAAGTTAACACATATAGGTATCACCTATATGTTATATTTCATATATTTAATATTATATTTTTGGATTGTTGTGCTACCAATCATACCTATATATTTCATATTATATTTTTGGATTGTTGGGCTACTGATCAAATTCTTTTTAAACTCAGTGACAATGTTTTAGGGGAAAAAAATCTTAAGTATTAGAAGATAGGAATTCAACTCAATGATAGCTGTGAATCTAACAATGGCATTTAGAGAAATGATAGGGGAGAGGTTTAATGACTGCATTTCAGAGAGGACAATTGATTATGAAAAACCTTTGGTCCTCATTGTGTAAAATTTAATTTAGAGAGAAGGCTAAGGGCACAAACCAGAGAAAAGAGATCAGATTTAAAAACAAGATATTAATTAGGTACTGAGAAATTGGTCCAGACAATGAAGAGGACTCTCTGATTGACAAAGAATGACAAGGAGACTGGTATTGTTTTCTCAAAGGAAATGAACCAATGTCTTTACACATGGAAGTGGATAGAAAATGAGCTTGCTCGTCACCTTTGTCACTGAGCAATGTGGGACTCATTCTGAGTGAAATTCTCAGAAAAGCCTCGTCTTCTGACAAATGTGACAATGATATATCTTAAATTTTAGGTCACTAGCCTAATTCCTCTCTATTCTCGCTCTCACTTTATGCCAGACCAGATTCCATTAGTCTACCTACCATGTCATGTTCTTTTCTCTCTAGTCCTTGGCACATACTGTTTTTAATGTTTTGGTCATTTTCTCGAGTGATCTTCTGCTCTGAATCCCACCCTCCTTCACTTGCCTAATGCCCTCTCATTCTCCAAGCATCTCTTTATGCATTATTTCTCCCAATAAGCTTTGCCTGACTCTCTCCCTCCTGGAATGCTGTTCCTCTTATATGCTCTATTAGCTTGCTGTTTCTACCCAAATTCACACTGACCACAGTGACACTGCAAGTGTCTTTTATATGTTTGAGCTTCCTCCAAACTGCAAGGTCCGTGGGAGCAGGGCCGTGGTTGTCGTTTTCATCATTTTTATAACCTCATATCCCAGATTCTAACATGTAACAAGGATTCATTAAATATTTATCAAATGAATACACAAAAAGTATAAGAATGTAGAAATTAAAGACCATTGTAGCCAATGGTTTCAGTCCTAAAGTAGTAATTATAGAATTGTGATTCTCTCCAATCACGTTTACCAGAATCACCATAAAGGGCAGTCACTGGGACTGGGGGAGTGGCAGCAAAATGCAGATTCCCAGGACATTAACTGGAATTCGCCTGCCAATGTAGGAGACGTGAATTCAATCTCTGAACTAGGAAGATCCCCTGGAGAAAGAAATGGCAACCCACTCCAGTATTCTTGTCTAGAGAACCCTGTGGACACAGAAGCCTGGCAGGCTACAGTCTATGGGGTTGCAAAGAGTCAGAAACAACTGAGCGACTAAACAACAGGGGCCAATAACTCAAACTCAAGAGGGGCTTCTCTGTGGAAGTTATGACCTTTATCAGGCTCCCCAAGTAGTTCTTATGCACATTAAAGTCTGAACATGTGTCTGGTCATTTCTCCAGGAAGCAAATTCTGATATGAAATTAGTATATGGAAAGTTTATTAGAAGATATACATCTATTTAAGAGTGATGGAATCAAGATTGGACAGACACAGCCACAGTAAAGGCTGCAGTGCATCCCTAAAGACTTGTTATCCAAGTAGGGGCAAGGAGAATGGGTCTTTACTTCCTATCAGTGACCTGTGATTGGAAACTCGCTGCCCCTGGGAAGGGGGCATGACCTTGGTTCAGCCTATTTTCTTCACCCGAGGGCACAGCAGCTGGGAGAATAAATGTTTCAGTCTGGAAGGCAGGGGATCCGGTCTATGCATTGCAGTATCTACTACAAAGCCCAATTGCTGTGTATATAGTGTGTATGTTAAAGAAAAAAAAAAAAAATTGGAGAAAGGGAGGGATGATCAGAGAGGAAGAAGGAGTCAGGGAAGAGAGGTGGGAGGATAAGTGGAAGGGATAAATGGAGGAAGAAAAGAATTTACAAGTGGTGAAAGGAGATCTTTTGCTTTGCATTTGTGTAATAACTACTGTCTAAAAGACATACAAAACTATTATCATAAAAGATTCTATTCTCAGGACTTCCCTGGTGGTCCAGTAGTCAAGACAATGCACTCGCACAGTAGGGAACACAGATTAGACCCCAGATCAGGGAACTAAGATCCTGCAGTACGTAAATAAATTAAACAAACAAACAGCAACAACAACAAAAAAGACTCTATTCTCTAAGCATTATCAGTGCAACGAGAGAGCCAAAAAATACTGATTTAGGAAATGGATGAATCATATATCTTAAGTATGATATTCTTAAACTCTAGGAGGAACACCATGAGAAAGGGTAGCTATTTACCTGAATGGTGCTATATTATACACCTTAGGAAGTGTGCAAAAAGTGAAACACAAGTACTGTTTGTTTATTGCTTAAATAATTTTTGTCCCTAAAAATAATATAGTTTTATTTGTTCTTACTGGACACTAACTCTGAATGTGTTTAGGGTAGAGAATATATAGAATGTTACTTGACATTTTCTTTAATTCGGTTATTTTATTCCCTAGATGCCTGAAATGTGCAGATGCCCCCTGTCAGAAGAGCTGTCCAACAAATCTAGATATCAAATCTTTCATCACAAGTATCTCAAACAAGGTAAATTTGGATTTAGCTCTGCAAATGAAAATTAATAGCAGCCTTTGATCTTGTTCTCTATTATTACCATGATTAAAGCATAAAGCTTGTCTTAGTAAATTAGGTTAAAGTATTAAAAGTATGATTTCTGTAGGCATGTGAGAATGTGTCATATTTTATTAATTAGTCTCTTCCTAGTTGTGATAATGATTATTGTGAAATCCATTTTCATTGTTTGTTATCTTAAAAATTAGTTTGTGGTGAATTGAATAATTTTTTTAATACAAAGCATTCACTGAATAGATTGATTCTAGCTTAAGCATGCTAAATGCTTACAGATAGGGACTGTCATTGATTATCAAAACACATTTCAAGTTTGATATCTTTGTTTTAAAATGTAATTTAATGTTAACTCTAGGGCACTGAAACAAATCAAAGGAAGTTGTCTAAGACTTAGACTAATTCATAGAGACTGATAGTGTTTTAACCAAAACCCCCACAACAACTGAGAAATAGAAAACAGACTTTTATGGACATTAGTAGAAAAAAAGGAATTTTTATATTTATGTTGTTTTTTAAAATCAATGTAAGGCTAAGCCCAGATTTTAGTAAACAAGAGAATGGTTGATTGATTAAATGATCAATAGTATCTTTTGTTTGCAAAAGAAGCATTATGAGCTCTTAGTCAAGGATCCTATCCTTTAACTACTGAGCAACAACTGAAGGCATCTTCCCATAAGGATTCAGCCATTGCTTCTTTTCACAGGATTTAGTACTTCTGCTAAAATGCTGCTAAAATCCAGTAAGTGCTCCTTCAACTACCTGGTACCTTTTTACATATAAAGATTCTGTCTCAGTTTTTCAGTGATTTTAAAATGTTGTAGGAGAAAAGTTATAAATTTATATAGCTTTAAGATTTCAAAAGAATTAGAGGTTATTACTTATATATAGGACGTGGTATTAATCTACATGGTCAGATTTGAAGTCCAGGTTGAATTTTTGCATTGAACCCCTGTGAACCTAAGAAAAATGACTTCTCTCTTCACTTTCATTTATGAAAGAAGGATAGCATCTGTCTTACAGGATGGTGGTGTGAACTGAATAATATTTTCATTTGCAAATCTCTGATATGGCAATTATTCAACAAATATTTTGTTGATGTGGAGTTATTATTTTTTATATTCATTCAATATGGTAAATACTATAGAAGTGATTTCTATTTTTGTTTCTGGAATTACTTATTGAGCATCTACTATCTACCAACCTCAGTGACAGATAGTGGGTGAAAAATGATCCCTGCTATGACCTTGCCTTTTGGAAATTATAACTCTGAGCAAAACCAGATACATTAAAAAAATAATACAACACAAAAACCTACCAATAATTCACTGTGATTAGTGCTGAAACCATTTAGTTTAAGATTATTCAGCATATGAAAAAGCAAGAATGTGGATTATACATGGCATGTGTAGGGAAATATAATAAATTCAGTGTGGCTAGAATGGAGCTTTGACTATATAAAGAAGAATGATGGGAAAGAGACAAGGCAGTTAGATTGATATTAAGTTGTGAAAATGTTTTAATTATATGCTCCATATTTGAGACTTAATTCTATACATAGTAGAAAATCACTAATGCTCTGTATTTGTTTTGTAATTAAGAAGATACAGTCTGAAAAGAGATCTCATTTATTAACTGAAATATCTTCAACATTTATCATCACAGAATCTCTGACTTATATATGAAAATAAATAATTTATGTGAAGCATGTATATGAAATCTCATGAGAAAAAGAATAAAATAAAATATCCAAAATTTGAAGTAGAAAGAGTTTTGGCTAAAATTATACCTAAGGTTGCACTCCTGGCTTTAAGCATGAGGCAATAGAATTGTGATCCATGCTAGCTAAATTTTCCCTAGAGAATCTTTAATTTAGTAGTGATTTTGTGATTCTAATTAGTGTATAGCACAATCATTCAAGCTCTACAAAATTTTATATGACAAAAAGACAAAATGGGAATAATGATATTCTTTGAAAAACTTATAAAATATCTAAGTAAGATCAGAATCATCTCTGTTTTAGGATAATGTTGTTTCATTAGTTTGTTCATATTTCTTACTACCTGATGAAGCAGTGCACTTTGGTATTTATTTAAATAAATTTCCATATGAAGAGAAGATATTTGGAGATACTTAATTGAAAATGTAATCTTATGCCAGACATTTAAGGAACTCTATTGTAAGTAGTATTTTGTTGAAGAATCATTGTAGCAATCATAAAAGGTAAGAGATTCTTGTACTTTAAAGCCTGCAGCTTTTAAGATATTTACCAGCTGTGTACGATGTAGGCTGTCCCACATTGCTCTACCAGTGGACCTCAACTCAGGAGGGGGGTTCTTTCCAGGTTGAGAGGGTAATTGAATCGCCAGACTCAATGAGCCTTGAGCCTTTTTGAGAAAAGCATGTCACTTGTATTGTATTGTGTTAGGTTCCTGTGATTCAGTGGAGTTTAGACCAATACTTCCATTCTTTATTTTTTTACAAACTGGATTACAGCTCTAGTTTCTAAAGGTACACTCAATTCTATTGTACCTCGTTGGTCAGTTTTTCTCTGTTTCATTCAGGTTGTTCTTTGAAAGTACACGTTTCAGATTCATCAAACTGAAAATAAGGGTTATATTTTTTGATAGTTTTCTTCTGAAAAAGAAAAAAACCCCACTAATTTATGTAAGAACTCATAAGGTCAATTATAAATGTAATGAAAAACTGACTTTCAAAAAATGTTCCTTAGTTACACAATGCTTTATTTTTTAATAAAAAATATTTATTTTCTCTTTCAAAATTTTACATTAGATTGTAAAGCAATGGCTTCGCCACAGACTTGTATATTTTACAGAATCTGTATACATTTTGTATACAATCTGTATAGATTTTACAGAATCTATATAGATTTAGTGGCTTTTATAGCTCGATAAATACATTTAATAATATACATTAGAAAAAAACTGACTCAGTGTCACATAAAAGGCTCTTATCATAGATTCCTATTGAAAGTAACTAGAAATCAGAGGAGCAGCACAATTTAACCAGCATTATTTATTGATTAATATTATTGATGACAGTAGTTTTATTTAGAAATGTTTTCTTGATATATATGTGTATGTATATATGCACATGCATGCACAAATATTACAAAGCAGAAGTGCAATTAGTAGATTTAGTCCATTCTACTTTAGGGTTTGCTTTTCAGTTTCAATGGCCAAGTGGTTTATACCATTATCAAATAAAATATTGATCATTTTCAGAATAACTTTCTAAAATCGTAGCTTTAATCACATTGTACCCTTGTTCAAAAAACTTCCATGGCTCCCCATTGCCAATAAAGTAAAGCCAATTAGGTACCCCCAATTTTTATGACAGAGAAGCAAGTAAATGAAAAAAGTATTAGGAAGTCCATAATTTACTAACCAGTAATTTAAAAAATGAATATTTTAGATATATAAAACAAAATGTGATAATTGAGATTTCAGGTTTCCTTTGATACACAAGGCTAGTTCCCACACTTATTGCCAGATGGTACTTGGAGCACCTCTGTCCATCCCAAGAAACAGAAACTTACCTACCTGCCATAAGATGATGCTCAAGGGAACACAGCTTTTAAAAACGTTTTGTGATGCTCCTAGAGAACTAACAAGTCATTATCCTTCAGAGTTCAATCTGCCATTTGGTTTACATAAATAGTTCTGAACTTGTGTGTCAGCTCCCCTTACAGTCATGATACCAATTTTTAAATAACGTAAAATATGTATTTTTTTCCTAAATTTTATAACAGCTAAATATTATGGGTCTGTGTCATTCCAGGACCCAATCTGAGTAGGTCTTGTGGCATAGACTAAGGTACTGCAATTCTAATTAGCTCTTCGTTGTCTAATTAACAGTAATACTATCTTTTTAAAACTTGAATAAAATTGTATGCTTTATTATTGTCTGCTAATTATTGTATACTTATTAATCCAGTTTTGGATTATTTTTACTCAAATTGTTGGCAGTTTTCTTCAGTTTTTTCCCCGCTTGTTGAGTTTTCCATGAGAAAGCAGTTTACTTTTGCTTAGAATAAATATCAGTTCTTTAAATCTTTTTTGGTAAGGCTATGCTGTTGACTAACTCTTTTTGTTTCTGAAACTGTTCATACATTTCTTAACTCTCATAAAATACTTTGTGCACAGAGTAAAGGATTTGCAGTTATTTTTTACAGCTCTCAGGCAGTATCACTTTAGCGTCTTAGGTTATGCATGCTATTTGAATGTCACCAGTAGCCTAGTTATTGCTCACTTGAGAATAATGTCTTTGGAGGGTGGCTGATTTAAAGACGTTTTAACCTTTAGTGTTCAACAGTGTTACAGTTATTTATATCAATCTGGATTTCTTTTATTTATTTTGCTTTGTTTTCATTATGACTCTTAAATCTGTGGATTGATATCTTTCATCATTTGGGGGACTATTTCATAGTCTTTACCTCATTTTATGGAGTTCTCATTAGGTATATGTTTAATATTCTTATTTTATTGTCTATGACTCAATTTATTTTTCGAACTCTCATTTCTTTGTTTTTTTGGGGGTTATATTTTAAATTATTTCCTTAAATTCTACTTTCAAGTTTACTAAAACCTTCTTCACCAGTTTCAAATATGTTGTTAAAATTGTCTGCTGAGTTTTGAGTTACAATTTTATCTTTCATTTCTAGGAGCTATATTTTACATTTAAAAAGCCTGTTAGCTTTTTATTTTTTTTCAAGTCTACCTATACTTTCTTTTATTTTTTGAATGATGACATTTTATTTTTTTTTTAGTTTTTTAAATTTTAATTATTTATTTACTTTACAACATTGTATTGGTTTTGCCATACATTGACTTGAATCCACCATGGATGTACATGTATTAAAATAGATGAAATTTCTTATTTTTGTATTCTTGAGAATCCCACTATCCGAAATATTTGTGAGCATGATTATATTGACTATG